TCCTTCCTTCCTTTCCTCCTTCCCTCCTTCCTTCCCTCCTTCCCTCCTTTCCTCCCTCCCTTCTTCCTTCCTTTCTTCCTTCCTTCCCTCCTTCCCTCCCTCCCTCCCTCCTTCCTTCCTTCCTTCCTTCCTTCCTTCCTTCCTTCCCTCCCTCCTTCCCTCCTTCCCTCCCTCCCTCCCTCCCTTCCTCCTTCCTTTCTTTCTTTAACGTTGAGAACAGTTTTATTATATTTTTAAAGAAAAACCCCAGAGCAGAGAACATGAGCAGCTGCCAGGAAGAGGGAGACAGGGAAGAGAAGAGAAAGGCCTTTGAGTTCAGCCAGCATGGAGGTCAGCCACACAGTGGACAAACAGCTACATGTCAGAGATGGGAGCTTTGAAGAAAGAATAAAAAGGTACCAAGTACCAGACGAGTCATACTTGGGCTCTAGCTAGACCCTAAAAGGAAGAGGTAGAAGCTCTTCTGTGTATGTGTGTACGTGTGTGTGTGTATGTGTGTGTGTGTATGTGTGCACACACATACACACACACACCTTTAATCCCAGCACTGGGGAGGCAGAGGCAGGAGGATCCCTGTGAGTTTGAGGCCAGCCTGGTCTACATAGAAAACTCCAGGACACCCAGGAATACATAGAGAAATCCTTTCTCAAACAACAACAAAGAAAGGAAGGAAGGAAGGAAGGAAGGAAGGAAGGAAGGAAGGAAGGGTGGAAGGAAGGAAAAAGGGAAGGAAGGGGAAGCAGAGAAGAAAGAAAAGTCTTGTCTTTCTTAGAAAATCTAGGTCAGGGCAGACCCTGCACAGCCTTATGGTGGCTCACAGGGACTGCCATTTATTTGGCTTTTGAAACAGGACTTGTCTATGGAGCCCAAGGTACCTTCGAATTCACAGTCCTTCTGCCTCAAATACTGGGATCACAGGCACGTGCTGTCATGCCTGGCTCCACTGTTGCTGGTTCTTACTTGTTTCTCCTAACTAGTAGAGGTGTTGAGCATCTTCTCATGGGTTAATTAGCATCCTCTGTGTACCTTCCTTGTGCAAGTAAATATTCCCATCTTTCAGCTGTTTCTAATTTGGGCTGTCACTTTATGTATTGTGGATTAATTGCCCACTCATTGGCATTACTTAATAAATGTGTCTCTTTTCGTGATAGAGCCTGGTGCATTGAGATAGGATCTTACACTGCAGTCTAAACTGGCCTGGAACTCAAGGCAATCCTTCTGCCTCCGTCTCCTGAGTGCTGGAATTACAGGGATGGAGCAGAATCTTGTTTTCTGTCCTCTGCTCTCCACTCAGCTTTTGAGAGCCAGCCATGTTGGTGCACACAAGCTGTGGGTCACTTACTTTGCTTGCTATTCCCATCCATCCCTTGCTGAAGAATAGCTAGGCTCTAGTTTGGGGTCACATCAAATTATGCTGTAGGGACAACTTCACAAGTGTTTCCTGGCACATGGTTGTGTGAGATTCTCACGAATGTATACCTAGGAGTGGACCTGGGCGGGGGTGGTTCCTAGAGATTGTGATTTTTACCAGGTACTGTCAGTTTTCAAAAGAGTTGCACAACCTACCTACCCTCCATCTGCAGTCAGGTGCCTTCCTTAGGTCTCAGTTTCTCCAGTGTATTCTTTGGAAAATAGGAGGTTAAATGGTTGGATTTCATTTTCTTTCTTTTTTTATCTTTCCTTCCTTCCTTTTTCTTTCTTGCATGTGTATGTATGTTAGTTTACATGGATGTGTAAGTGTGCTT